GAGGGATTTTGAACAAATATTGGGAGTTAAAACTATGTAGTCCTAGGAGGGGATTCAGTGTGCAAGAAAGGAAGGGCAGAAAAACTTAAAAAAGCAGGACACTTGAGCAGCAGAGGCAATATGAGTCTGAGGAACGAAAGTCATGGGGTGGAGGACAGGGGACAGGGACAAGTCGGGGGGGGGGGCTTTAGCGGTAAGAGCAAGGAGTTTTTATACCAGATGGTGGGAAGGAGCTGGGAACACAATGTAGAAAACTGAGGAGAGGGATCATTTGGACTGAATGAGGCGAATGACTTTGGCACATCTCAGTTCTCTCACCTCTAGCCATAATTCTCCTTCCAAAATAAGGTTGAATTAGACAAGGCAGGAGATGACTAGAGCACAAACCTTGAGTGCTCAACCAAGAGGAGAAAGAGAGATTTTTCTATATAGAAGTGACAAGGCTTTGCAACAGAAAAGGGGGAGCAAAGATAAACCCAAGGCTTCTACGCAGAATTACTGGCGATCACAGATTAGATCAAGGAACAGCTCTAATAAAGATAGAAAATGCTGACACCAGCATATGCAAACATTTCAGACAGCTTGCTACATGCCCAAAGACTGCCTGAATTTGGCTTGAGAATCTGAACTTTGCAAAACCATGCTTAAGTTTTTTTTCATGTTTTGTAGATAAAAAGTATGTTAGCATTCATGTCAATTGCTGCAAATACTATTTCCAAACAAGTTGACTCATAGATACCTTGGTGCTATGTCTGTAGACAATAGATGCATGAGTCATGTCTGTAAATTCCTGGAAGTGCTAACAGACCCCTTGCTTAGTCATCTTTTAAAGGCATGATGAGTTCACGAGCTCTATAAGCCATAATAAAGGGCTCTAGCTGTATACCATCTCCCCCCGTTACATTCCGTATAGCACAAATTAAAAGTCTAAAAATAACTTCATACATATGAGTCACTTCATCTAACACGTTTGCACAACTTGTGTTGTTAAACAGTGATATCTAGTCAGGAAGGTATAATTCTGTCGCCATGCTAAAAATAAAAAGGAAAAATGTGTCAGTGGAAGACATGAGATTTATTTGACCCCAGGAATATAAGTGCTTTTTGAGGAATATTTCCACGAAGTCTATTACAAGCCACAAAGCTTCACAATAATTAATTTTAAGGAACCTCCAGCCCATGGATCTAATTAGGCCCGCCAGGCCTCTTCATTTAAGCTAGCTGGGCCAAAAGGGGCTTCTGAAGTACCAATCAACAGACTGTCATGGCTTCTAAAGCCAGCATGCAATGAAGTCCTAATGATCAGTTGATTTATAGAGCTAAAAAAGGGCTTCACACTTGGCTTCTGAAGCACCGAAGATCAGCTGACTGAAAATAACAATGCAACGAACTGAAGTTCCACTGATGAGATGGTTGTTGGTGCTGCAAAGTGCTGTCCATCTCTCAAATTTGGCCCATGGGTGGTGTGTGTGTGTAGGGGAGATAAGAAGCAACCTGCTGGTCAGATTCAGTTCCCTTTGCACAGCTTCCAGTGTTCCCTGATGTCAAATATGAGGTGCAGAGGGGCCCATGTGTCATCAAATGCTTTGTTGACTGGCACTACTGGAACTGAAGTGCTGATCAGTTGACTGGCGCCTAAGGCATGCTCCGCAGAAAAACACATTCTTTGTCCACACAGCTTGATGTCAAACTGCAGGGGCAAAGGAAAACAGCTCATTTGATGTTATGATGAAATCAGGCAACTGACAAGTGGCCCACTGGTGTTGGGGAACATGCCCACCAGTTCAAAATGCAACAACTCTTGCTGCTGCATTTTTTGTTTCTTTAATAAGAGTGTGGTACAAAAATTAAAATTCTTGCCAGCAGTATTGAACAAAAGCAGCTAGACTCAAATCCAATACTTTTTGCCTTACAGAGAGAACCACAGGATCAAAAGATGAGTATTTCAAACTTCTCACTTTGGTATATTGCAGCTTCTTAAATTAATTAGCTATAGAATAAGGGTGAGGAAATTTTTTTGGCCCACCCTGCAGGTGAACTTTCACAGATGGGTGAAACAACCCACATGTCAATCAAATGATGTCATTATTGATACCACATGATTAACAGGTGGGTTGTCTCATGCATGTGTCAAAATCCTATATTCAGGGCTCCCAAGTGTCTGACACCCAAATAGCTGTTACGCGCTTGGGAACTGTAGCATAAGGGGCATTGCTGGCCCAGTGCTCTGCACCAGGCTAGCAAAGCACTTCTTGCTCCCATCTCCATCAACTGATGGAGTGGGGGAGAAGCTGGCATTTTGAAAGCATCTGCTGTGAGACCAAAAAGTCCCTCTTCTCAGCCAATACCTGCAAAAAATTGAGACTGCTTGCTTTGACTGGGTGGGACCAGTTTGGCTATGCATGGAACAGGTATGCCTAGCCAACTGAGCATGATTTATCCTTGGTACGCATGCAGCCAGCACACAAAGGAACCCCCCCTCCCCCCATAAGCTGATGTCACAAGTGATGCCAGCTGATTGACATGTGAGCAGGAGTTGGAGAAAACGGTCTTGCATGCCAAATTGCACACCCTAGCTGGCCAACAATGGCCCATAGGCTGGAGTTTTCCCACTCCTGCTACAAAAGTATTGTGCAAATCTTACTCCACTAGGGATGACTGGTCAGGGGCTAAAAATCGTGTGTTACAAATACAGGCAATGGCTTCTTGGTTCAGGCCAAAAGCCAGCATAGCCCTTCATTCTATTTCCAACACCAAACAGCAAGATTCCTATGGCAAGCTCACAAGAAGGGAATGACAGAAATAGAGCTCTGTGTTTGCATACCCAAAGAGCTGATACTCGGGGGCATGCTACTTTTGAACATGCAAGTTCCATTTAGCCGTTATGTTTAAAAGCTGCCAAGATGTTAGGCTGCGATTCTTTGGTCACGTACAACTTCTGCTGCACATAAACAATATTTGAGAAATTTGATCTTTATGAATTACAACATGAACTGAACTGACCCTCATCTTGCCAACTAATATGCGGATCAAAATGTACATGCGGAAATGGGGCAGAACGGGATTATGAAAATTATTACTACTTATTAAATTTGCACGCCACCCTTCACCCAAAGATCACAAGGTGGTTCGCAAATGAAAATGAAAGGGAAATGGACCAGAAAGCTCATGTGAAACCCATGCAAGGTAGCTGTGATTCCTACTACTGGGGAAGTTCCATAACTAATTGAGAGACAAGAGATTGCTGACCCAGGCATTGCCCATTTCTAATGCTGGCCTTGCAAAGCTTTGGAGAAGTGGCGTTACCCCTCTCTGATGCTGTTCTGGCAGCTCCACCCCCCCCATCAAGCCTGACCCAGAAGCAGAAGCAGGGGGCTCTGGTGGCACTCATCCACCCAGCGGTGCCTCCCATCCCAGTGCGCACATGCACCTCTGGAGGTAATCGCAGATGCTAAGCTCCTGAACACAGCCACCATGACTAGTAGTCACTGATAGCCATGAATTTGTCTAATTCTCTTTTAAAGCCATCCAAGTTGATGGCCATCACTGCTTTCTGTGAGAGCAACTTAACTCTCTTTTAAAGAGGTTCAACGACCGTAGGCAGCAAGCAAGACTCCACCCTAGGTTTTACTCCATTATAATTTATCACGTTGGTAAGAATGTGCAACACAGCTATGCATTTAAGACAATGACTATTTTGAAGCCCGCAAGACCTTATTAGGTTTCCCACGATATTCTGCCGACAAACAACAGCTTCCTGGCACTTCATCTAGTTATCTGTTCCTAGTTATTCATTGATCTACTCTGAATTATTCCTTTAGGGTTCAGAATTTTAGGAGCTTGCTTAGTACGTTATGAATCAGGCGGGACACCAAGAAAGTCAGTCAGTGAGGCATACACTGATGCAGATGGCTCTAAGGAATGCTCCATATTGACATTGCTTTGCTTGAAGCTAACCTAGAACTGCATGACAGAAGAAGCAGTGTGCATGTTACAAAGAAGACAGAAACAACAAAAAATGTTTGCATTTCAAACTCTGTGGTATGTTGCAACCAAGCAAACAAAACCAAAAGAAAGGAAGCAGAGAAATATAGGGGTCTAGTGTGTTAATAATTGTCTAACTATAGGTGACCCGGCAATGCATTGCTTTCTATTACAATAGCTCTATTCATATTTTCAACCTCCTTCTATACACTGGGCTTGTCTCCCATGTTTATAAATCCTAAGCGAAAGATAAAGTAACTTCATTAAAGGTAAACATATAGTAAGAACATAAAAAAATACAGTTTGGCTTTATCTTTCTACTAAACCTATATTTGACTAAGACCCTCCCAGTAGATTAGTTACCTATTAATTCATAAATAAATTGCTGTACAGCAAACAAACACCCTTGACAGTTCAACATATAGCAAATGAGTTCAATTCACTTTTGTGCTATGGAAAGAGGTTGGTGGCTCAGTTCTACAAATGATTACTTGGAATGAAGTTTTACTGAGTTCAGTAGGACTTGCTTATCACAAAGTATACTTAGAAAGGTACCCTTAAGAATGCCTAATGGAGTACAGCTATCATAAAAGTACATTCAAGTATATTATAACATTTATCCCGTGTTTTGAAGAAACAAACTGTTGGCTAAATCTGTGCTGGGTCCAGAAGTTAAAATGCCTGGAACCTTAATTATCACTATCTAGTGATCCCTATATATGTTTTGGAGAACACAACAAGGCCTGGTATTGTTATACTTCCTCTGATGTACAGAAGCTTTTATAATTAAATATCATATTTTTAATTCTGACTTTTAAACGTTTAATTACTATGACACCAGATGCTATGGAACGTGACTTCAGAAAGATGGGGCGCACAAAAAGACACTTGAGAATCTCTGCCCTACAAAGGAACACAGGAAGCTGCCTTGCACCAAGTCGGACCATTGGTCCACAAGGCTCAGTACTGTCTGCAGTGAATGGCAGGGGAAACTGGCAAGGTTTCAGAAAGATACCCAGCCCCACCTGGAGACGCCAACAATTGAACCAGGGATCTTCTGCATACAAAGCAGATGCTCTGCCACTGAGCTATGGCCTGCACATTCTGCCCTATGGCACAGGGCTAAATAACAGAAGGAAGATTAATAGTCAAGAATTCCCTTACAAAAAAAATTAAGTGTATTCATTAATTACATCCGTACCATGAGCACCTGTTCAGCAGCCACTACTAACAACACTCTAGATTTTTTTTTAAATCAAAGCTCTCTCTTTAATTGGGAAAGAAGTCAACATTTCCCAAGAATCAGTATGCAATAGCCCAATGCCAAGTGCTGGATCCTGGTTCTGTCTGAAACAACAGCAGGCCCTGGTTGGGAGCAGAGGCTGGGTGATCTGTGGATCATCATTGTGGCTTTCACTGTGCAATTAACAAGATAAGAGAGCCTCTGGCAGGAGATGTTGCCACGGACCCCCAGGTGTGTTCTGTGGACCCCCAGGGGTCCCCTGACCCTGAATTGGGAACCACAGATCTATGCCATGGGATGTTGCCTGAAAAAAGGAGTTAACCTTTTTAATGGCATCTGAAGTGCCATTTTTTGGCTTTGTATTATTTACTTTGAAAACTTCAGCTGACTCAAGTAACATCTGGAACAGCGTTTTAGAGTTGGCAAAGCTCCTACAGTCCTTCTGTATCCCTTAGTTACTTACTTTCCATGAAAAGCCATAAGAAAAATTGGACTAGTGCAATTTAATATACTTGTAGATGTGAATCAAGGACAGGATGAGCAAGAATCAATATTTCTCAATAAACTGTCCTCTCTTCATCCATATATAGTAGCCTTCTTGAGTCTGCAGCACTATAAACTCGTATTTAATTTTAAAGGAAAAAAGGGAATCAGGAACAACATTCCACTAAGGCTAACTGAGTAATATAGGTCAGCCAAATATAATTAGCTGGATTGGAATTTGGCCAGTACTTTAGGGCTCACATGTTATTGACAGAAGAAACATGCTAATATTTTTAAATGCACACTGACCAAGATGAAGCTGAATCTAGTGTAAAGGTAAAGGTACCCCTGCCCGTACGGGCCAGTCGTGTCCGACTCTAGGGTTGTGTGCCCATCTCACTTAAGAGGCCGGGGGCCAGCGCTGTCTGCAGACACTTCCGGGTCACGTGGCCAGCGTGACAAGCTGCATCTGGCGAGCCAGCGCAGCACACGGAAACACCATTTACCTTCCTGCTAGTAAGCGGTCCCTATTTATCTACTTGCACCTGGGGGTGCTTTCGAACTGCTAGGTTGGCAGGCGCTGGGACCGAGCAACAGGAGCGCACCCCGCCGCGGGGATTCGAACCGCCGACCTGACGATCGGCAAGTCCTAGGCGCTGAGGTTTTACCCACAGCGCCACCCGCGTCCCTGAATCTAGTGTATTTAGGTATAATTAACAGCTGTATGTTGTGCTTTACCTGCTCCTGTATTTCCTATTCTAATTAAGGTTTCAACCATTTCTGCATCTCATTTTTCTGTATGCAGAACAAAAAGCTAGCAAATGAAAGTCATTCATTATGCATCTTGACGTTAAGAAAGATGATCTATTGCTTGGTAAACCACACAAAAATCATAGAATCATAAAATTGGAAGGGACCCCAAGGACCCCCTGTGATGCAGGAATCTCAATTAAAGCATCCATGACAGATGGTCACCCAACCTCTGCTTAAAAACCTTCAAGAAAGGAGAGTCCACACTCTCCTGAGGGAGACAGTGTTGTACAGGTATTACGGTCAGAAAGTTCTTCCTGGTGTTAAGTTGGAGTCTCCTTTCTTTCAGGTCCTACCCTCCAGAGCAGGAGAAAACAAGCATGCTCCCTCTTCCATGTGACAGCCCTTAAGATATCTGAACATGACTATCATATCTCTTCTCAGTTTCCTCCTTTCCAGGCAAAACATACCCAGCTCCTTCAACCATTCCTCATAAGGCTTGGTTTCCAGACCCTTGGTCATCTTGGTTGCCCTCCTCTGCACACGTTCCAGCTGATCAGCATCCTTTTTAAATTGTGGTGCCCAGAACTGGACACATGCAATGTCAAACACAAAAGTCCAAATATGCCAATCAGTTTGGACTTTTGTATTAAATATCAAGATCAATTTAGACTTTTAGGTCAGGTGAATGCTGATGCATACCGAGTGGGCACATGAGCACTGGAAATTCATCATCACAAAACCCTCACTCCAAATTGATAGCACTGAAATGGATCCCCAGGTTGACCTTTCTTTGCAAGAAGCTACAATGGTAGGAATACACTCTATTGAGATATAGGCATGTTTGAGCTCCAGGTAGGCAGGGGCCCTGCCTCACCACATGGAGACAGACCAGCCCAAGCAGGGAACATGGAGTATATTTCCGTTCCCTCCAAGCCTGACCAAGCTGCTGCTCACTTTCTTGTTTTTGTAGAGTTTGGACACATCAGAGTTGCAGGCAGCTGGCAGAAACTCTAAGCACTCACTGCCTAAAGTAATTCCCCCCCCCCCCCATGAGCAGCAGCCACCCCCAGGAACTATTTGTTCTATACTTGCCTAGATATATGCTGTTCCTCAGAGGACAGATAAGAAGTGATTTTTGCAGATTGCTGGGAGAGGGAGGAAAAGCAACCCATTCTGCCCAAGCTGACCCTGAATTAGGCTAAATAAGCAGCAACGCAAACTCACTTTTTTGGGGGGGTGGGAAGAATACACATTAAATTGTCAGGAGGCTTCCCCCCCCCCAACAGATAAGATAGGGATCAGAGGTTATACAGCCACTGCCATTTTTGCTTTGCGGGGAAAATCAGCTCCACCCCTTTAGTGCTGAGCTCCACTCTACCCCACTGCATGGACTCTCAGAAAAGGTTCCAGGTTGATGAGGTGGGTCCCACCTCATCAAGTACTGATCTAGTACACTGCATGTGTCAGTGCAGAGCTTCTCCATGCTTTGTTTAATCATTTACCGTTACCTGCTTAATACTGCTTCAGAGATGTTTCTGGAAGCAGCTTTCAGTGTGACTCAAAAGCTTGCTTCCCATGTTTTATATATGTCTTACATACATACAGTGGAACCTCGGGTTGTGAACGTGATCCGTGCGAGAGGCACATTCGCAACCTGCAGCGTTTGCAACCCACAGTGCTGCATCTGCGCACGCACATGACACAATTCAGCGCTTCTGCACACGTGCGAGTGCCGAAACCCAGAAACCGCTCCTTAAGGACTATCAGCAAGCAAGCAAGAAAAAACTTGCTCTGAAATGTAGCCACAGTAGAAAATTCTTTACTACTACACAACAGTCTCAGTAACTAGCCTGAACAAGACACCCGAGAGTGCACTAAAAGGAACAATCCACCTTATCCTCTAATAAGGACCTTGGAAATTTACTGAGTATGAGATACAGGCCTAGTCTTAATGGCTTCTACTTTATCTTCGAGTTCTCAAGGCCTTTCTCCTAGTTCCCAGTTCTTAGCTTTGTTTCTGCTGCATGAGTTGCTATAGCAACCCCTCCTAACAGTGATTACACTGGCACAAATACATATATCACTACAGAGTATTAATTATGCCAACACGAGCCATTTAGAAACCCACACTGAAACCCAAAAGGACACACAGCACCAGTTATGAAAGTTTGTGTTTTTCATCTTTTCTCAGAACACAGTGTCTCTCGGTGATGAAACAGGACCTTTCTATTGTTGGTGGAACGACAATCGTGGGATGGTAGATGAGTACTGAGAAGCCTGCTAAGGAACAAGGAGGATGGAGGCTTCTTGCCTTCAAATCCAGGTGTGGAAGACTGCTGTAGTTTGGCTGTGGAGCTGACAATAGGGAAGTAATTTAAAATTTACCGCAGAAGCCCATTACCGTATTTTTCGCTCTATAGGAAGCACTTTTCCCCTTCACAAATGAAGGGGAAATGTGTGTGCGTCCTATGAAGCAAAGACGCCATAGCCGCGTGACCCTCTCCCGGCTGGAGAGGTGACGCGTGGCTATGGCAGGAGCCTCTACAGCCACACGTCACCTCTCCAGCCGGGAGAGCGCGCGCGGGGCTAAAGCAGCCCCCCGCGACCCTTTCCCGGCTGGAGAGATGATGCGCAGCTATGGCAGGAGCCTCTACAGCCGCACGTCACCTCTCCAGCCGGGAGAGCGCGTGTGGGGCTAAAGCAGCCCCCCGCGACCCTCTCCCGGCTGGAGAGCTGACGCGCGGCTATGGCAGGAGCCTCTATAGCCGCGCGTCACCTCTCCAGCCGGGAGAGCACGCGCGGGGCTAAAGAAGCCATAGCCCCGCGACCCTCTCCCGGCTGGAGAGGAGACGCGCGGCTATGGCAGGAGCCTCTCCGCTGCGCCTTTCCGCTGCTCCCGACCCCTCTCGCTCTCCAGGCTTCCAAGGTAGCCGCCTGAACGCACCTTAAACGGCACCTTGTTTTAGAGCGGGAAAACAAGAGGGGGAAAGTTCTCCCCCTCTCTGCGCAGCGCCTCCTGCCGCTTCGTTGAAGGGGCGCTGGGCAGAGAGTGGAAGAATTTTTTTTTCTTGTTCTCCCCCCTCTAAAACAAAGTGCGTCCTATTGTCCGGTGCGTCCTATGGTGCGAAAAATACGGTATATCAGGACAGTCCGTAGACGGCCAGACTCAAATGACAAAACAGAGATAGACACTTAACAGTTCCAATACTTCCTTCCTTCCCATGGTCTGTAGTTTTGTTGTAGGTCACCTCAGAACATTTTAAACATTTTAAAATAAAATAAAATGCAAGGAAGCGAGAAAAGGAAGGCTACTGGAATATTTTAGGCAGTTACTGGCATTGCGGTCTTAAGATACTGGGTGTCTGAAGCAGTCCAAAGATGTCTCAGTTGGGGAAAGAGTGAGATGGGGAAGACAAATGTTCCAGACAACACACTGTTGCTTAAACTGCAGTGAGTACACATAGTTTGGATTTTGGAGGACAAGAACGGAGGAGGCAATGACAATGAAAAAACAGCAGAAGCCATAGAGCCATTTACTGCTTTCTGCTGCTTTGCCATTTGAGCCTAACAATCTTCCCCCTATGTCTCTTGCAACAGTTACATACTTCAGAAGGCTC